TTTGTGTTCAGGTCTTGACAGTTAAATAAAACATTTCTCAAGTATGGAAGAAACCAATACGCTTCCTGTTTTCAAAGCACCGGATATTACACGCAATATCTGAAAACCAAAAAGTCTTTAAAACGAGCATTCTGACTGGCTGATGTGAGAATTTTAAAGTTAAAGTAATGGTTATATTTGCCTAAAATGGCCATAACAGGGGATTGATAACATGTACATGCATATTTGTATAGTTCTGAGATCGCATGAAACCATTGCTTTCGTTCAGAAACAAGTTGGGTTAGAAAAAGCAATCAAACTCTCCATCAACTTTATCTGTTCTTAAATGTACACAAATGTTTAAGACAATAATGAATTTTCTCTCATGCATTTTGCTTTATAGTAACATGGATCTCTTGTTTATTGATCAATATCTGTATAACAACGGTTACTTGTTGCGCATTTATATATATATATATATATATATATATATATATATATATATATATATATATATATATATATATATATATATATATATATATATATATATAATGCAAACTGCAACAAAACTGTTCTCTTGGAATAATCTTGCAATTAGGAAAGTATTTTTTTTAAACACCGTTAGCACATTGTCGTTTCCAAAACTGTTCACCACCAATAGTTTTATGGTTGCTATGGCACGGAGATGGAAACTGATGTAACATAAGATGAGAAGGACTCAACCCGCAACATATGTTTGTACCTTTGTAGATCTGCAGAGTCATCGTTGATAAAAATCGAGCATTTATTCATTAAGGAAGTAATCAATATTGCAGATCGGGTGTACTGCACAATAATACTCTGAAGGTCTTGCCTTTTCTGTTCTCAAATTGCGCAATGGCAGATTGTGTAGGGATTTTAAAACTGTAGAATTGTGCATCACAGTTCATAAAAGTAAAATAATAAATATTCACCGTTTGCCTTTTTTTCTTACCTTAAAAAATCAATACATCTTTAGAAAAATGGCTTGTATAAAACCATAATAAATGGCCATAACTCAGTGACAAGTTTCTACCCCTTTGGTCCTAGACTGTTTCTATACCGACAATTCAGCCTCGAGCGGCGAATAAAAATCGATCTTGTCCATAAAACCATACCTTGTTTGTGTTAAGGGCGTGGTTGATAATTATCCGTCATCCGATCAGCCCTGATAAATTAATAGGTTTTAAAATGATGTTTTGAAATATAGATCTTTGTCCCATTTTCATTTTTATAGTATTCTTTTGTCCGGTCAGCTATATCGTCCATTCATAAAAAATGACAACAGTGTATACTCGGAGCATTTCACTTCTGTAGCATTATGATTTTCCCTGCATTTTATTTTTATGCATTTTATATTTCTATAAATGTTTTCCTCTATACTGTTACACTAATTTACTAAATAATCAGATATTATTAAAAAAATTGTTTTGTTTTTCAAATTTGCATTTTTGCCAAAGTTTAAAATCGCAAAACATACTTTCTGGTCTTTTCGTACGAATATATTTCAAATTTAATCAATAAATTTTACATTTGTATTTTCTATATACATTTCTTCGATTAAAAAAAAACTTCAAAGTATGTTGACTCTTGTTTTAATGATTGAAAAAACATGATTGAAAAGTGATACCTATTCTGCGACATCGCAAGATAACTCAGTCCTCTGATATCATTATGGAAAGTAAACAAAATCCAAACATCAAAGAAGTCATCCAAACGTATGGATTTTACAATAAAAAATTCAATTTTCTGATAGATTTTTCCTTCATCAAAAGTTAAAGACATTGAAACTGCCCAAAGTACCTGAACATCTACTTAAAATGCCATTGAACCTTCGAGTTTCAGAATGGATAACTCGTTTCAACCCAAATTCAATTACCTGTTGCTCAACTCTGTCAACTAAATGATGCCTTAAATGGATAGGGTAGGCGCTCATAATAAGTTCCATAAATTACCGTGTCCTTAATTCCACTTTACCTAGTAATTTTACAGGTCAAATGTCAATGTTAATGGATTCGGCCGTTAGATAATGTCATCGTCCGATAACTGAACTCGCTGCCCCTCCCAGTCAAATTAGTACCCAAGTTCTAAATGTTAAAAGGAAAGGACGATTCTATCACCAATGCTAAAACCAGGATCTCTAGACCTCGTTATTCTAAATGGAAGAGTTTTACGACATTTTGATTTTGATCAATGACAAACGTTGGCATTATGTTGTCAGAAGAAAATTATGCCATTAACATTCAAATTTATTCTCAACTATAACAACAGATTGCCAAAATATTGAATAATCTTTTTAAGTTAAGATACAGTTCGTGTTTCGGAAAAAAAATGTTTTCAATATTTTTCCATGATTCATTCTCCAGATAAAATGTTTTGGGTTTTGAAAGTTAATACAAATTATTCGTGTGGGTTATTAGAAGATGCATACCACCTTTTTATTATTATTTATTTATTTATTTATTTATTTATTTTGTAAAAATTATGCAAATGCAAGACATTCTTTAATGAATAAGCTATACTGTCATTTAATAATTTGTACGTTATAGACGTACATTTGATGCTGTGGAGTGATGATCTTTTCATTTATCATAGTACAAAATGCTGAACTTTTCAAGATTATTCAAACCTTTCTAATAGAATGTGATCTTTTTTTTTCTAAAGAAGATTAATTTTTACGATGAAAATTTATATTTTGTACATTTAAGGAAGATTTTATTTTCTTTTTAATACTACTGTGTATATGTAGTAGACCATAGATATATTTATAGTTTGGCAATTTAGAAAATGCTGGACGAGGAGAAGACTTATCTAATTTTCAGAACTTGTGTCTGATCGTTTTGACTTTTTGTCAATAAAATATGTTCAATTCAATGCAAGACGTTGCAATACAGTTTCTCATTTATTAGTTTAATCCTAAATAAACTAGTCCATATTACGTAACTTAAGAATGGTTATTCCTTTGTGTTACTTAAGTAAAATATAAATCATTCAATAGGTTTTACTATAATGAAAGTTTATTTCTCATTCAAGCTTAAACGCGTCTATAGATTTACTATCATTATATATTTTAATACAAGTTAAATGAGTTTAATTCTTTGTCCGGATATGACCGAACCAGTATTTGTAAGACTTTCCTATTCAATTATGATTACCACGGAGGATTACCGCGTAAATGCAGTACCAATAACAAACTTAGCCCGGTTGTTTCTCATTGTGTATGGAATCTAATCTGCCCTTTTGCAGTCCTTTTTTCTCTATTAGTTCAATATAGTACTCTTAATCTTCAGCGTATCAAGGCATTTACTTAGCATGAACGCAGCATATCAAAAATTTACCACCTCCTCCCCCCTCCATAAAAAAATTAAAAATTTTGAAGATCTCCCCCTCCCCTTTTTTAAGAAAAAAAGAAGAAAATGAATCACAGAGACTTCTGTTCATTCAAAGTAAACTTTGTGTAAAGAGGAACATCAATTACTTGATACTCAGAACAAATTGGACCAATCACAATCGTACAAAATCATTTTTACAATAAAAACTAACATTTTAAGGTACATCAAACGTTACATAATGTATTTTTCATAGGATATCATGCATTCAGTCCACATTTATGAACTATAAAGCTTCAGGAATGTAAATTAAGATACATTACCTTCCCTTTCACTTGTTTGTTGTTAATATTACACTTAAACTTATTGCTGCATTATAACGACGCATTTTTTGTCAGGAATAAATGTGGTAGAGCTTAAAAAATATACCAAGATCGTGAAATTACCGATAATGTCCGGTATTGGATTGTTAAGGTAAACAATTGTTCAAGTATTCTGTTGCCCTTCCCTGTCCCTTTTTTTCATGACAAAATGGTGATCAGCTGATGTTAACTTTTGTTTAAAAATGACTAAAAGTTTTTCAATTTTTTTCTTACGGAGGTGCTGCGCCCACATTCCGAAACATCTAAATCATTTTTTCTCTGTCATTGTATTCTTAAAATGATCTTTTCCTATTGTGCAAAGTATGTAGAGCATAAGACTGATATTGTGCACATAAATAGACGACTGTGCCCCTTCTCAAATTCCTTTAATGCTTGAGGGCCTTTCTTAAAACTTAATTTGATACACGACTTATTGTAAAACCGTGATTTTGAAACATGAATTTTGACAGTATTTCGACTAACACAATGGGGGTACATCTCATAAAGATTTGAACCATGTAGACGCCTCCCGCATGTTGGAAGATTGCTTGTTACCAACGCTATTAAATATTCCAAAACTATCAGCAGTTTCGGTTTAGAATTACAGTTCATGGTCTTTATTTACATTTTATGGTTGATCTTTGAGCACCAGGAAGAGGATTTTATTTCATAGAAAAGGAAGAAAAAATTTGATTGAAATTCATAATAGCTACATGTATGAAAACCATGTTAGGGGGTCATTCTTTAAAACACATTATTAGGTTTTCGTGCCATTTCTGAGTTCCATTTAAGGATCTGATTAAGGTACTAGAGTACTTAATTTCAATGTATAGATTAGACATACATCATGTCCTTGTGACTGCCAGTCCTTGTAACATAGTACTTTGGTACACGCCCTATATTAAAACATCTACAATCATACTCTTACCCATGTAAGTATAAATGATGTTTATACACCTGTTTAAAAAAGGTTCAGAGGGTCAACGACTTAAGTGCAAAATACACGCAAATTTTCTTCGTTTGAGAACTTTAAATGAAACTGATTTATTACACCACTCACGGATTAAAATATACAGCACCAAGTTTAAAAAACGCACATGAACAATATACACATGTTTATGTTTAATTAGACCACATATTTACAAGAAATAATCGGATATTAGCAACATTTTACAACAACAAACGTTGGAATTTTCGATCGATATAACAAGTTCCCATTGCAAAAGATAATCTGCTTTGTACTATTTTTACGCATTGCAATGGAAGAAGAGACCCAGTGGGCCAGGAAATCAATTGAAAAGAATCTCACCTTAGGTCGAAGAATCTGTATAACCCTCACAGCAAGCAGTCCAATTCCTCTTACAATTTACTGAAGATTTGAAAAGTCATAAAACACGCCGGCTGACTTGTCATAAATTTATAATTCATTGATTAAAAACTCTAGTATTGCAAAAGTCCCGCCATATCAATTCACAGTACACAGTTGCGTCATATAATCTAAGAAAGGGTTATGTCCAGAGAGAGGCGCGAAGGCAATATAAAATATTCACGGAAATAATCAAATTTAGGCCAAATCCTCAGCCACACCGTGTAAAATACTCGGGGGTACACCCATGACCAAATGTACAAGTTTAAACATCGACCGATTTAAAGCCCCGACTCTCGTTCTTTAGAGCCAGCGTTCTACTGGCATAGAGTGCCATTTAAAAAACCCGACAAACAAAGTTCAAATACTAGAGATATGCGTTAAGTATGGTTATTGGTTCAGTTGATATTGAAAAACAGAATGATCGGCTGATTTAATTTGTCAAGGGTTGAGATACCTTGGCTTCTCGGAGTATTTGATCCTCTGACTAAAATCAGATTCTTGGCACGCTGTGTTTCATGAATCATTTATGTCGGGTGGTTCTCCCAGAGTAACGAGATACAAGTGAATGCCTGATCACGATACAGGGTATATATAAGTAAAACGATGCTGGCGCGAAGGTTGTGTAAAATTTTTATTAAAATTTTATTGTTTTCTCCTTAAATATATATTGCATTGACACACGGAAGAATATTACTTCTATCGTATACCTGATTATTTTGGGGGGAAAAAAACTTGATACGTGTTTGTGACTCATAAATATTTCTGTAATATATACCCAGGTCATATGAAACTCTGGGAGTAAGATAAAGATAATTTTTAAGTGCATTAGCACTTATACGATGGAAAAACAAATATCTTTCAAAAATTTAATGATGCAAGTAAATTACACAAGTAAATTATTTCAAATCTTTTTTCTCTAGTACTAAAGAATCAAACATTAATTTAGAGGAATTTTGCATATGCTTGAATAGTTTTAATTCAGGGATTGATTAAGGATTTGCATATCCAACTTAAATTTCACAGACATGATCACAAAGGAATTTCAGCACTCGGACATTAAGCATACTATTCTGATAATTTATGTACTACTTTTCTTGGACTTAAAGGAAAGTAACTCCAACATTAATCCGTTGACAATCGGATTTATCCTTCCTTGACAGATTTTCAGACCTTTTAAAGAGAGGTGTCTAATGTCCTTTGGATTTCGACATAGTCTTTTTTTTTTTAACAATAGAATGTTAAAATTTCCACGTATGAACTTCAACAAATTGTATATAAATTTTCACATCATATAAGCTTTCAATTTTTTTTAACACTGACAGTGCCTAATATAACTTTAAAAATAAATGCATTCAACATTGCTGTTTTACATTTTTAACGCATGCCGAAAGTCAATACCACATCAGACTGTTCATTATCATTATCAACATATCAATATTTTGTTGAAAATTAATTTTTCTGTGATGCAAGAGACTTACTGAGAACTGAATCATCGTTATCAGAAAACACCACTGAAATTCTCTCTTTTAATAAAATTCTCTCTAACGTAGGTCGCAGCCCTTTTAAAATTGCCCCAAAACATATCTTGAAAATTAATTACATGTATATGAGTCCCCTACTTTTGTTTTACATTTTCTGAAAATTTTATAAAATTCGTCTGCATCGTTTTTGTGTAATTAAATCCCAAACATGCCCTTGTTGTAGTAACATTTTCGACGTTATTCTAATGAATTATATAGGAAAAACGTTGTTTTTGACTCGTTTTCAGGCAAGAATGTCAATAACTTTTAAATAGTGCAGACGCAGTTTCAAGGTTAGAAGTTATAACAGATCTTTGTTATTCAAGGAAATTACACGATACCGATTTGTGAAATATTATTCTTTTTTTTTTAGTCTGGTCCCATATGGCTGCGCTGTCATAAAAGACAAATTCCACGAAATACATGATTTATATTGGGGGGTTTTTTTTGGGGGGGGGTAAGAAAGTTTTTTCTTTCCTCTTCCTGAAACTGTGAATTCTGTCTTGGGATGCATTCTGGATAAAATGCCCTAGATGTGTGCACGGATCTTATGAATCAAAAAACGACAATTTGACTGTGAATTCTTTAGTCAATTTTTCGTTTTTCAGTCTTTTAAATAAATGTCATACTCTTCATAAACCAAGAAATAAATGTTGAAACTTATATTATAAATAAATTTCCTTGCTTATCAGCATTCCAGCGAAAATACTTGTTCATTACTTAGCATCTTATCATTCGTTGCACGCAAATTATTGACAACAATCAACTACTATTTTCGTCATTATGTAGACATAAGTACATAATATTTCGATGAAAGTTCTGTCATCTTTATTCCTTGAAAAAAATGACTTATTTGCACAAGACTTTATTTTTATTTTTATTTTTTTTTATTTATTTTTATTTTTTTTTTTGAATAAATGACATATCTGCACTAGACAGTAATATACAGGGTGTCTCAAAATATATGTTACCATTTGAATTAATTGTCAAAAACATGTCTTGACCAATTTCTTTGAATATCACATTATTTCTGTCTCATTATATATCAGAGTAAATACATTTTTAGCAACAAAATATACCAGTAAAAAATTTCACATAGTTGGAATTATTTAGTCACAAAATTACATTTAAAATTTGCTAAAAATTGCATTTCATGCAAAATTGATTTTTCAAAGTGAACTTATTTTGTCGTGTTCCTTTCAATGTTCACCAAATTGTGTAAATAAAATTGGACTGAATATGCAATGTTTAAAGTGCATTTGTTGTAATTCAATATTCATTACATTATGTTATACATAATTATGAAATGGTATCATATTTTCTGGGACACCTGTACTTTATTATTCTGCGAGAGAGGACGATTTAAAGCATCTCATCGTAATATACTACTGTACCAAATTTTATTGAAATCAATCTTGGAAAATAAAAAATACCCCGAAAACAATTACACACACATTCTATTAATTCATTCAATAGACGAAGTATGATTGTTTTTATAGAATGACCAAGTTAAGGATTTTTTCAAAATTTAGAATATATTTAAACACTCTTCAAATCCCTCCAGGGAAACAATGTGGTTCATCAAGTGTAAGAGAGATAACTCTGGACTAAAATTGATGAGCGTGGGGTGTATTGTACTTTCTCTAAACTTTAGCGGATGGAAGTTTTGAAGACAAAAAAGGCTTCTGAAAATTTTTTATACAATATCTAATCTGATCATATTTCTGAAGGTCAATTGCATAAAAGTATAAAACCAATGACGTGAATATTAAAGATTAATAATTACGATGGGCGCCGTTACAAGATTAAGTTGAATGATAACCAGATAACACGTGCACAACAGAGACGAAAAGTTATCATGCTTATTCTGCATTAAATGTGTATAATAATAATTTATATTAACCAAAATCTTAATTGTAAACACTTGGTAAATATTTTTTCAATAGATATATTAAATGTCTGTAAGATATTAAGCTTTAAATAATATCCTACGGAACGATGAATAGATGTTAACAAATATCCTAAATATGTAAGTAAACACTGCACAACTTCTGTCTACGCATGACTTAAATTTCTGTGCCTTTTTTTTTTTTGAATTAAACAAGTGAAAATATAAACTGCAAAAACTGAGAAAAAAAATTAAGGGTGTGTCTTTGATGGTTTGTGGCAAATTGTATACCATCGCATAAGCTCTTCTGGACTTCCACCAGCAGAGCTACAAAAGATATTACTTAATCAATTCAATCTGAGGGACATTTTTAGAGTCTTCTTAAACTATGAGACCTTCGATCTAAAAATAAACAGTATGGGCAGACAGGTATCTCGTTCCTCTAATGCACGTAAGGAAAAATTTCCCCATGATTTACTAGTCATGGGCGTCGGAAGCAAATAAAAAGTGAGGGTCGGGGCTAACCCCCCCCAAAAAAAAAAGTTTGAGGGGGATAAACTCTAATTTTCAAAGCATATATTATGTCTATCTTTGCAAAAAAAGTGGAGAGGGGGGCTAACCCCCCCCCCCCCCCTTTGTACGGGAATTCACTTCAAAACACAGATTCTATGAATGCTATCAACAGTTGAAGCAATATTTTTGTGTATTGAATGCATCTGGGTTTTTATGGCGTTAAATATATTGTAGATAGTCTTCAAAAATAACATTATGCAAAAACCGTCCAAAACTCCGAGGTGTTGTGGGCCTTTTCTCAGAGAAGTAATGCGATTCAGCACTACAAGAGATATAACTCTCATTTCCTGACCCCCCCTTTTTGTTTTGGTCAAGTTTACGCTCTACATTTCAGCCAGGCCTCAAGACCATAAACTGAGAACAGACTTAAGTCAAAATTTTTATTTTGAATATCCTGACTTTTATTTAATATATGTGCACGAAAATTTGCATATTTGTATAAAGTTTTAATTGATACATGACGTGAAAATGTTGTGTCATTATCAAAAGTTATACCGATTTTAAATTTTTACTTAAGTCTGTTCTCAGTTTATGGTCATGGGGCCAGATGGAAAACCCTAAAAAGTAGTACATGTATATAATGTCTAATCTGAGATCACAATTAATCAAAGTAAATGTTTTCCTTTGCTATACTTAGAGATGAATTATCCTTTTCACAAACTAGAGGTTATAGTTATAAAACAATGCCAAGAATTGATTTATAATTATCATTAAACTGCATAGATGATAACCAGGGACAACACGTGTACATAACAGACAAAAAGAGATCGTATTTATTCTGCATTTAAATGTGTTAATGTGTATTTTTACATCCAATAATATTATTTCATTTATTTCTTAAGAAAACCGCGGATGTTTATCAATACTTCAACATCGTTAATCAAGCACTGGAACTATAGGTTTATTGAGCATGCAAGTGGCTATTTCATTAAAGAAACATACAATGATGTACATATCTGCTGTATTTAATACTACTTTATAAGATTATTTATAAAGACATAAATATAAAAAATAAAATGTCTCTCTTTTATTGTTAGTAGGGATAAACGTTGCAACTATTGCAGAAAAAATGAAAGAAAAAGTGAGCAAGCTCACATACCCCACGCTTCCCCAAAACTCGACAATGCAACACGTAATGAATGGCACAGTGCATTTTAAATACACAGTATAATTCAAAAAAGGGGCACTACTTGCAAAAAATCATCACATCAAAACTTCTTGCATATAAGGACATTCAAATCTTTGTATGTTACAAATTTAACTGGGCTGAAGTTTCTAGATAAATAATGGAATCAAAATTTCTTGGTAATATACAAATCTATACATTATTCTGAAATACCTACAAAGTTTCAGGAAATTCAGTGCCGGAATTATGCTGACAAACTGTTATTTAAATTCCTCAGTGATTTCGATTTGTTAATGAGTGTAAGTCCATGTCCAACACATGACAGTTTACACATTTAAATAATTGATGGAAACAAAATTATGATGTAGTCATATGAATCTGTTTATATACTGTACTTATGAAATTATTTAAGGCAAAGCACACCAATTTGAAGGGGGGGGGGGGGAGAACTATCGAAGATGGTGTGTGTGTGAGTGTGTGTTTGTGTTAAACCATTAATATTTTGATCTCAAAATCAATAGGGGTATTTTAAGGTCATAAAATATTTCACATAGAATTTCATTATAAAAAGCTGATTCCAGTGGAGTTTCTTATTACCTAGCTGGAAAGTTTCTTCAATAAAAGGCAAAACTCTTAAGGCAAAAATAATGGAATCGGAATTTCCTGGTAATATGCACATCTACACACTGTGTACTAAATATCTGCAAAGTTTGTCCAAATTCTGTGCAGCGGTTTAAGAGGAGTTGTGCTGACAAACTGTTCACCTCTATATTCAAGATATGGCCAAAAACCTAAGTTGAAAAGTGCCGAAATTCCCAGAAAAAATAATGGAATCAGAATTTCCTGGTAATATGCACATCTACACACTGTGTACTAAATATCTGCAGAGATTGACCAAATTCTGTGCAGCGGTTTAAGAGGAGTTGCGCAGACAAACTGTTCGTCTTTATATTCAAGATATGGCCAAAAATCTAAGTTGAAAAGTGCCGAAATTCCCAGAAAATATAAAGGAATCGGAATTTCCTGGTAATATGCACATCTATACATTGTGTGCTAAATATCTGCAAAGTTTGACCAAATTCTATGCAGCGGTTTAATAGGAGTTGTGCTGACAAACTGTTCACCTCTATATTCAAGATATGGCCAAAAACCTAAGTTGAAAAGTGCCGAAATTCCCAGAAAAATACGGAATCGGAATTTCCTGGTAATATGCACATCTACACACTGTGTACTAAATATCTGCAAAGTTTGACCAAATTCTGTGCAGCGGTTTAAGAGGAGTTGCACTGACAAACTGTTCATCTCTATATTCAAGATATGGCCAAAAATCTAAGTTGAAAAGTGCTGAAATTCCCAGAAAAATAATGGAATCGGAATTTCCTGGTAATATGCACATCTACACATTGTGTTCTAAATATCTGCAAAGTTTGACCAAATTCTGTGCAGCGGTTTAAGAGGAGGTGTGCTGACAAACTGTTCATCTTTATATTCAAGATATGGCCAAAAATCTAAGTTGAAAAGTGCCGAAATTCCAAGAAAATATAAAGGAATCAGAATTTCCTGGTAATATGCACATCTATACATTGTGTGCTAAATATCTGCAAAGTTTGACCAAATTCTGTGCATTGGTTTATGAGGAGTTGCGCTGACAAACTGTTCATCTCCATATTCAAGATATGGCCAAAAATCTAAGTTGAAAAGTGCCGAAATTCCGAGAAAAAATAAAGGAATCGGAATTTCCTGGTAATATGCACATCTACACATTGTGTCCTAAATATCTGCAAAGTTTGACGAAATTCTGTGCAGCGGTTTATGAGGAGTTGCGCTGACAAAAAAACAGGACTGACGGACTGACTGACTGACTGACACACTGACTGACTGACTGACTGACGGACGGGTCAAAAACATTATACCTCACGCAACTTGTTGCGTGGGGTATAAATACTTAAGATAATCCGCTTTTTTTCTGCAACAGCTGCAACATTAATTCCCATACAAACAACCAAATTTCTGGTTTATTGATATAGGTGTTAACAATTGCAACACTGCAGATAAATACGTAACTTGCCTAAGTGTGGTAGTGTACTTTTTCCCGCAATGATTGAAACCGTTTATCCACGTATAAACAAAGAAAGACGTATTATATTTACATTTAGATCTGTCTTTGAATTTATTCATATAAAGTATGTGAAATATTGTAAAATCAGTATATCACATTACTGAAATAGCCAGGAAACAATAACCATTTGACACTACCGGTACTTGAAAATCTTTTGATACAGATTGTTTTAAAAAGCGAGATCTAATTAGTTTAGAAGTTAATTGTGTTTATTTCCACTGTAAAGATGCTGTACAGTTGATTGAGGACCAAAGAATTTACAAATTTTACTCCCTTTAACCTGTAAATACTGTATATTGAAATGAAATAGAAGTAATCATAGATAAAGATGCGGTAAATATTTATACGTTGCGACGGGAAGCGCCCAACGATGGATGACAATGGTCAATGGGGTGACATTACTCAAGTCAGTTTTCTAAAAATCAAAATTTCACATGGATCTCTTTTCCATTATATTCGAGTAAACACTGATAAAGGTTTGAATATGATATATTTTTTTATATAAAATATCTCATTTTTACATCACAGAAACAAATTGTACAAATATATATTTGGTATACTGAACAATGGTATAATCTTTAAATAGCAACATGATAAATTCATTTGACAAGGTATAATGCTACTGCCCTCTACCAAATTTAGAATTTGTTCAATTTAAAAACTGTCATATATATTTCTAAATTTGGTAGAGGACACAACACTAAAACAATATATGGACGAAACTTATGTAGTAAGTCAAAATTTACAGCAGGCATCAGGGGAAAAATACAAGTATGAATTATATTTGGGGTAATAAACATACACACTGAAAATGTAAAGAGAGTGGGGTCCCAAATATCATGTTGTAAATTTTGAATTTACTAGGGGGAGGTAAATGCAAAATTTACATGTTGTATACTGTGCATTTACCTCCCCCTAGTAAATTCAAAATTTACAACATGATACAAAGTCTGTTCAAGAAAAACAACAATGAATCCAATGAAGGGAAAAAATCACATTTTCCAAAAAAAATCTCCTCAAAAGATTATTTTTTGTTTTCTAATTCAAAAAAGGTTTTGAATTTACAGACATCTGTGAAAAAATAATTAGTATGCAATAAAAGTATAAAAGCACTATACATAGCTTAACTCGCGGTCTCACTGCCATTATATAAATACAATATATGGTTTTAATATTCTATTATTATATATCTCCGCCATAACTTTTAAAAGTCAAAAATATCCTAATTTGTGTCTTCTCTCTATGCAATCTTCAACAATTTTTAAAATCTAGCACCTTTCGACTAACTGGGTGATTTCTACCATTTATAAATATATATTATCTATTATCCTAAAAAGAAAATTACAGGTATGATGAGATGTGAAAATTAGTGACAAAACCCATTTATAATTTCAAAACTGAAGTGTTTTCATAAAATATAATATTTTTCTAGAAATGAAAATTGATTTGTAATAAAACAAATATGAATAAAAATTCAAATCTTTGCTACAAGATGCAGACATACATAAAACATTTTCATCCTTAAATTAAAAAAAAAAAAAATATTTTATATATATATAAGAAGTTCGGCGAGCTTCACATTGCGTGATAATGTCTAACATTATTAAACTATGAATTAAATTTAAGATGATTTATAAACAACATCAAATAAAAGAATCTATATCCTACCTAAGAATAAATGTTCAATAAAAATAATATTGTAGTGAACAAATACCTTATGTTAAAAGACATAATATGTATACAATTATCTAGACTCAAATTTAAAGCACTTTCAAAAGTCCTCATTTGGCAACATTTACATATCTTTAGTAATATCCGCACAAATGACCAAACAAAACTCAATTATGCATTTGAAATTCTATTACAGTTTTCTAATATTTCTACAACACACCATTAATTTTTTGTACTCTTCCACATCACTAAGTATTGCGCATTAAGATATTATCTTTCTAGTTAGGTACTATGTCATGGTATGGGAGGAGGGGGTGGTGGGGGTGGAGGAGGAGGGGGAGGCGGCGGTGCTCCGCTTTGTGGAATATTCATAGAGGTTCGTGGACTATTTGGTTCTGATCGTGGTATGATTTCCGGTGGCGCTGCTGAGAAGTTTACTGCACGTGAATTACTTGCGTCATCATCATCATCATCATCGTCTACGGAAGCCCCTCTTTGTCTTTGCTGTAACTCACGAAGAACCTGGTTTGAAAATGCTGCCTTCATATCTGGAGGTCCTCTCGATTCTGTGGGTGGCGAGAGCGGCGACTTTTTCTCTTTTGTTGACCTGTCTGTTTCAGCGTCAAAAGGAGGCGTAAGAGGTCTCTCTGTTGTTGAAACACGAGGTGTCTCAACAGCATCAAATGGCGGTGTTTCGGGGCGTTTTGGGTAAACAGAAGATCTTTCAGGTCTGTTGAAGGATTCTCTTGGAGTTACCGGTTCACTGGGTATATCAACTGGCGGCGTCACTGGCCGGTTCTCTCTCGTGTAATCACGATCAAATGTGAAATCGTCACGATCATCCCTATAGTGTCTACTTGATTTTGACAACTGGGCGTTTTGTGAAAAGCCTCGGGAAGAAATGTCACGTCTCTCTGACTGAGAAAGACTGTAAGATTTTCTGGGATACTCTGAAATATTTTTCACTTCTCTATCATCGTCTTCATCATAATTTTTGTCAAATTCTGTAGGTTTACCGTCATGTCTACTTTGAATAATATTTTCCAACTGGTCCGACATGGACTGTCGTAGAGGGTTTCCTCTGCTCCCATCATATCCAGCGGAAGTTGTTGGTTTAACAACAGAAGCATAAAGTGCCGTAGTATCGTCCTCCGCTGACCTCTTAACTTCTCCCACTGGTTCGCTTGGTTTTATAACCTTAGCATATTCAGCAGTGGAAGATTCCATCACCAGGTTCCTTTCTTCCTCCGTATATGATTTTCTTGGAGTCGTCTGCTTCGATGAACTCTCACCACCATCTCTAAATATGATGTCACCTGGTGTGGGTTCAGCATTTAGTCCGCTGAACATGTCATCGATTTGCTTGACCTCGTCATTGGATTCCTTGGACATCCTTGGGGATAGGTCTCGATTCGCTGATTGTCTTAGAAGAGCAACATTTTCGGGAGATTTGGATCGAGATCTCCTCTTTTCTGTAGTCTGCTTCTCGGGAGATTTTGATCTTCGTCTTCTTTCAGGAGACTTTTTGCTCGTGTCTTCATCAGAAAATTTCATCTGTAATATACGAATTTAGTAATCGAAGTTTATGATCCAATTTCTCTGTTCTTATGTACGTATTGAGTAGCTGCAGAACTGAAGCGTTATGATTTTATATATTAGTCTTTGACCATGGTCAAAGACAATATAAAACCATAACGCTACAGTTCTGCAGCTATGTATTGAGTACATTTCTGTAAATTTAAAGATATTTACCTGCCCTTCTTCACTTTCAAGTTCCCTGTAAGAAAAATAAACCATTGATTAAAATATATATATTTAAAACAAGATGTGTTTGTGAAACACTATGCACTCGGCGGCAACAAAGTTCGAAAAAGCTATTTTTAGCGTATAGGTCACAGTCAAGGTCACAAGGTCATTGACCTTGGTGTCATTTGAAAGAACTTAATTAGTGGAGTATGCATACCAAATATGAAGTCTCTATCTCCTATGGTTCAAAAGTTATGGCGAAGGTTAAAGTTGACAACAGACAGACAAACAGACAGACAGGACAAAAACAATATGCGCCCCCGATCTATCGATCCGGGCGCATAAAAAAAATCAAATTTGTATATCTCTAAAACCTATAAAGACTACCAAATTAAAGTACACGTACTAGACTTTTTTCACTTCTATTGCATTATATTTCATTATATAAATAATCGTATGATTTTTTAGTCTAAAATGAAAACGCTTCCTTATAGAAAACGGAGAGGAAACTATTTTTTTATTTCTCCAAAGTATTTTAGGAGACCTATTTTTGTAGGTCATATGAAGCAGAATTTATTCAAAAACTTGTACCTGAGAAGACACTTGCTGTGGCCTTCAACTTGACATTTAGATATATCGACGACGTATATTAACAATGGTTACTTCCATTCAAATCATATGTCGACTCGATATATCCCAGTAAACTTGAACTTAAAGATACCGCAGAGTTGGACACATCTGCTTCATATTTGGATATTTACTAGAAAAGGACGTTAATGGTAACTACATGTAACAACAAAACTTTATGATGACTTCAACTTTTCTATCGTCAACTTCCCTTACTTACGTAGCATTATACCTTTATCACCTGCATATGTGGTTTGTATCTCCCAGTTGATTCGATACGCAAGAGCATGCTCCACGTTCGAATAATTTCTAAAACGAGGCAATCTATAGACAAACAAGTTGATGAAACAAGGATATCAACAGTTTCCTTTAAAGTCATCATTTCGCAAGTTCTATGGTCGATACAATTACATTGTCAGCAAATACAATCTATCATTAAGTCGATGCTGCTGACGTTTTTCATACTAATTATTAGGCCATTATTTAAACACTGAATTGTCTACTGATTTTTCCGTTTGCCCGATCATGACAATGAGCACACAACTGGTGTGACCGGTCGACAGGGGATGCTTACTCATCCATGACACATGATCCCACCTCTCATGTCTTTTAGAGTTCCGTGTTTGCTTCATAGAAATTGAACAAGAGTTCCTCAACTTTAATAAAGATTCAAATTATTTTTGTATGCTTGGTGACTTTAATGCCAGAGTAGGCAATATGAATGATTTTTTCACAGCTGATGAATTTATATTGAACCAAAACAATTGTAATGAAAACATGTATACTGATATTTTAACAAGATCCACGATATTTGAAAAATGTAATATACCATTAGAAAGAACTGTTAAAGACACCACGGTAAATAACTATGGGCATAAATTGATTGATTTTTGTAGGAATAATGAAATGTATATTGTAAATAGTCGTGTAGGCAACGACAAACTTAAGGGAGATTTAACTTGTAAAAATAGCAGCACTGTAGATTATGTTTTAGCCAGTGTGCATATTTTTGATTTGTTTAGTGATTTTGATGTTGTCGAATTTTGTAACCTATATTCTGATGTACATAATGCCTTATCAGTATCTTTATCTAGTTGTAAGACTGTTATTTCAAACGACACAGGTGTAAATCACTCAGGTGTAAAATTATGGTGTCCTAACAAATCAGTGGAGTTCTGTGGTAATATTGAAACACTTACTGTAAATAACATTGAAAGTAAACTTGATGATTTAGGCGGTGATAATACTCATGTAACAAAGGAAAATATCAATCTTGTAACACGCGATATATGTGACGTGTTCTTTAGTGCAGCAAAAGAAACATTTGGGTACCATAAAGATAGAAGGGCTGGGGTTGAAAATAATTAGGTCTTTCCACCTTTCTGTGGAAAGACCTCTTGAAATGCTTATGTTTATTATTATTATTATTAGGTCTTTCCACCTTTCTGTGGAGAGACCTCTTGAAATGCTTCTGTTTATTAGGTCTTTCCACCTTTCTGTGGAAAGACCTATTGAAATGCTTATGTTTATTATTATTATTATTATTTTTCCGTTACCGCCTTTTGAACCGAAAGACTTTTTGAAGAACTTTATAGTTCATGATACTCGACATCAAAAGTTATTTCGAAAAACTACCCAACGAGTATGACCTATGACCCCTTTCGGAGTTCTTGCCCTTTAAACGAAAAACCTTGTTATCGCTACTCCTTCGAAATCATAAACCGCAGAGGTACGAAACCTTAACCAATGTCTTCGACTAACTGAGTACTCGCTTCAAGGTTTCACTGCGAAAGAATTCGTCGACCCCTTTTATGAGTTATTGCCCCTGGACGTTTCTCATGTTTACGAATAATGAAAAACTTTTCTAAACGACAAGTCGTAAAGACATGGGACCAACTGCATAAGATTCTTTGACCTTAGACCTTGAACTTAAGGTCAAGGTCAAAGGTCAAGGTCATTCAAAATATAAGAAAATAAGCTCTTTTTATAGCTCTTTTGTCTTTCAACATATACTACATATCTTTGCATATTTAATATGTCCTTCTAAAAGTATTATAAAAATTTCATTCTTGTCCCCCAAGCTTGACCCATTCAAAAGTTGTCATCCCTTTCGCAATAAAACCTTGTTATCGCTACTCCTCCGAAACCGTAAACCGTAGACATTCCAAACCTTCATCAGTGTCTTCGACTCATTTAGTACTCTCTTCAATCTATACAGTGCGAAAGGGTTCTTCGGCCCCTTTCATGAGTTACTGTCCCTGAAAGTTTTTGCTGCTTACATTTAATGAACTTTTTTTTTAAAACGGTGTATTCTAGAGACATGGGACCAACTACATCGGCATATTTGACCTTTGACCTTGAAATATAGGTCAAGGTCAAAGGTCAAGGTCATTTAAAAACATAAGAAATTCCTTATATATGTGTACAATATAGCAATAAACCAAGTGACCTTGAACTTTGACCTTGACCTTTGACCTTGGGTCAAATGGAAAAGTAAGGACATGCATTCAGCTCCAGTATCAGGTAAAAACATAGAAAGTAAAGATTTCTGGGTTTGTTTGTGTGTTTTTTTTTTTTTTTTTTTTTAAATGACCTTGACCTTTGACCTTGACCTTTGACCTTGACCCAAAGGTCACAATCAGGCTTAAGGATATGGAAGTAGTTACAATTCTTAGTTTAAAAGAGGCATAAAATAAATAATTCATCCCCCCCCCTCTTAAAAAAAAAAAAAAAAATCACATCAACAACAACGTAGAATATTACTCTAGAATCCAAACCAGACCTCGGATCGACACCAGATTTGGTACAAATGTAGTATAGACCTCAGAAAAACTTTCTGGAGAGTTTTACGGTGAGTCCTATAATTTTATAAAAGTCTTGAAGTTTCACGGCAAAAACTACAAGTTCTGTTGTGTTTGAAATTTAAGTGCAGGTGAACGAAGAAATGATCTAAACCTTTTATCGGCTATTTCTTCAGATGTCGTTAGTAGCATTTAATTCTCCTGATATGATACAACATTTTAATACCCAGCATTCTCTCTTTCTTTTACATTTGGAATTTATTTGATTTTTATTTAGAATTAATCAGTTTCCAGAATTAGCGATTTTCGGTATATTAAAAACAATTCTCGCTTTCATTGTCGTCTTTCCCTTCTAAAAATGCATGTTGGGAATTTAATTTGGGCTACACATATTTAATTTAACCCAAAGAAATGCTTATTTAAATGTTTCATATTTATTTCAGGATATTCAGTCAGAAATGTTCAAATCCGAACCCGATCTTTTAAGCTTACAAGGAAGCTATTCACAAAAAAATCAGCATGCTCACAATATCGATGAATCAGGCTACAGTCCATGAATACATTTTCATTAGGGAACAGTGTTAACGTTTTCTCACGCAGCCCGTCCCTTATTATTTTGTATACTGCTTGCAAATTCAGGAACTATTTCCTTTTACGGAACTTCTTTCTTCCCCTACCGATTCTAAAAATACGCTTGCAATTATTCTATAGTCCTAAACATTTTAACATACTATTGTTATCGGAGTGCGTGGCCTAATGGTTAGCGCACCTGCCTTTCAATCCAAGGGTTTTGGGTTCGATCCCTGCTGGAGGAGCAATTTTTTTTTTTTTTTTTTTTTTTTTTTTAATTTTGGGCATTTTTCTACTTTTTCTCAACCCAAGTGACACGGAAACACTTAAAAAGGTGGAAAGGCCTCTAATTGTTCTTTGAACAATTAGTCTCCTAGTGTTTTATTAGGTCTTTCCACCTTTCTGTGGAAAGACCTATTGAAATGCTTATGTTTATTATTAGGTCTTTCCACCTTTCTGTGGAAAGACCTATTGAAATGCTTATGTTTATTATTATTATTATTATTTTTCCGTTACCGCCTTTTGAACCGAAAGACTTTTCGAAGAACTTTATAGTTCATGATACTCGACATCAAAAGTTATTTCGAAAAACTACCCAACGAGTATGACCTACGACCCCTTTCGGAGTTCTTGCCCTTTGAACGAAAAACCTTGTTATCGCTACTCCTTCGAAACCTTAAACCCCAGAGGTACGAAACCGTTACCAATGTTTTCGACTACTTGAGAGGACTTTTCAATCTTTCATTGCGAAATGATTTGTGGAGCCCTTTATTAAGTTATCGCCCCTGAGAGTTTTCGATGTTTACGAATAATGAAATATTTTTCAAAACGACAAGTCGTAAAGACATGGGACCAACTGCATTAAATTCTTTGACATTTGACCTTGAAATTTATATAGAGGTCAAAGGTCAAGGTCATTCAAAATATGAGAAAATTAGCTTTTTAAATATCTCTTTTGTCTTTCGACATATACTGAATACCTTTGCATCTATAATATGTCCTTCTAAAACTATTTTAAGGATTTCATTCTTGT